GTGCTAACAACTAAACAAGCGACGATAGTCCAGCTCGAATGTTTTGGAGTTTTCACCGCTAAAGTTCAACCTCGCCAAGTAGGGCCTTCTCGGATTTTTGGTGGAACACGAGAGGAGTTGAGCTCTGGAAACCCCTACGTGTAGATGATGTCGCAGTCAACGCGAAGTCAACCGTCCACAGCTCGAATGCAACGCTTTCAATACGAAAGAAAACAAGGCAAAGTTTGCTTTTCATGACACCGTTGAACAGCCTTCTTGCTAAGAAAATTCCAGGAAAATTCCTTATAGCCCTGACCTCGTGCCAAATAATGCCCACCTGCTTCCCTCTCCAAACCATCTCCTAGAGAAGAAATCTCATCCTAACCATCAAAATCGACATCTGATCTTTCTTCGATCAGAATTCAGTAGAGTTCTACAAGGAGGCATCGAACAGCTTCTAGTGCGTTGGCAATAGGTTGTAGATATTGATGGTGTGTATCATGCTGGATGAATGGAACAAAAAGATAATAAAAAATTAAAATTCAAAATTCGGCCAGTTTGTTGCAAGACTTATGGACCAACCTAATAATGCATCAGCGAAAGCAGTCGTCAGAGGCCGAAGGAAGCGACGTGTAGCACTTTCATGGCCGATGGCACACTAGCACCGCCGTGGGGCTCTCAGTCCTTTCTGACTTCGCCACCACCTGCGCTCCCCATAAATGCGTGAAGCAGCATCATTGTCCGATTATCTTTTTGATAAGGTATTTCACTTCGAGCGCGTATCGTATAACATTCCCGGAATGCGGCATCAATCAAAACATACTCTTTGCTGGCACGATGGTGGCTATCGAGGTGTAGTAAATGATCTCTTATAATTAGTGTTGTAAGCTCGTCCATTATCGGAGGTCAACGGGCAAAGAAAAGGTCCCATTTTGCGCCTTCTTGACGGATTTCTTTGCTTTTTTCGCCATTGCGGGCATCAGCATCCCCACTTCCACTATGAAACTAGCCAAATCTTATCGTGATCCCTTACTTAGCCATAAGCATGACCAAGCCCATGTCTGAATGTATTTTGATCAGGAGCCTGTTGGCCTTTTTCATAATTCGAGAGAAGAAAGTTCACGCCAAAATGTCAACGATGATGAGAGGGCTGATTCAGAAGTTGCGGTGAATGCAGTGGCTGAGTAATTGCCAGTGATTTGCCTTTCATTATAAGAAGGCAGCGCTTGTGAGCTGTCGTTGAAGCTAGCTAAAAAATATAGGGTATTGTTGCCACATTGAGACCTGGTGAAAATCAAGGCAATGCTGGCAGTTTAGGTGCCGCGGAACTTTTTCAACGCGACCATGACGTATAGACGAGACTCACGCTACTTCATGCCATATGGGCATTTCTTGCCGCTGACTCCCCAAGATATGCAAGATGAAGGCGTGTTCGTGTCAAAACAAAAAGTAAGTTCCAAAGAAAAACCTTGTGCTATTTTGCACTCATCAGTTACTCGTTCTCATTTGGGTTCTGTGTACAAACTTGGCTCCGACTTCTCTGAACCTATAGTACACTATCCTCAAACCCTTCCCTTCACAAAACAATCTACCTTTTCCCTATTGTTGTCCTCCTGATCATTAAATGCCTCGCACGGGTACGCAAATTTCCGTCCTTACCGATGATCCAGACGAGGCAAGTCTTTCGCGATCTTCTTCAGTGAAATTTAATGCGTCAAAAGTGTGCAATTCGTGGGTGAAATCCGCAAGGTTCTGCTTTTCGAACTGCAATCTTTTCATGTGGAGATTTGAGGATTGCGATGATTGTAAGGAAGCTCTCGTATTGGTCAAAGATGAGATGGAAAATAGCCGATAAGGGAGCTCATGCCTTAAAGGAGGATTTTACGATTAGAATGGAGGTCGAGGAAGAAGTAATTCACCTAGTTGAGTAACCCACGGACCTCCTGAGGGTGCGAACTGATGCGCAATTCGCATCGAAAAATTTGACCTCGGCGACCTATTATGCCTCAAAGTTGGCGGGTCTGGCGATCTCCGCCCACCGATCACTCGCCGCAGATCTATACGTGGGATTGATTAGATAGCAGAGAGAGCGTGATGTTGAGGAGGGCACAGCGATAAGAGTCGCATCAATGCGCAAATCAGCGGCAAGGAAGGGGTCCCATTTCTCGGGTTCTGGGCCGTTTCTCATGGTTCTTCCTTCTTTCGTGTACCAATCACCATCCCTGAGTTAATTTGAAATGGGTTGCCTTCCCAGCGTGAATTCGTCCTTTAAGTGGGGGGCAGGGGGTAAAAGAAGAAGGATTTGGGGATCATCACGTGAGTGAACCCAACTACTGTGCATAGAATTAGAGGGCATCCAGGGGTTCTGGCAGCCGCCCTAAGGGTATGAAGCACCAGCGATCCAGCAGGATATATAAATGGACTAAACAACACATCTCGTTGAACAGAAACTTCCTTTTTTACAATATATAAAAAAGCAACATTTTTATGAAAGGCTAAATACTCGCAACACGCGCGCATTCAACCCTCCACGTTGTACAGTTTTTTCCAAAACCATGCGAGTTAACCCCAAGCCAATCTGCGCACGTTATGTGTTGAGTTCTGCTGCAAAGGCCGCGAAGCCTCGCCTCGTCTCGATCGCCGCGCATGCCGCTGCGCAACTCGCCGCATGCCAGTCCGGACGAGACAAAAGTCCCGCACCCGAGCTTAGTAGTGTCATAAATAGAAGGACACAATACGCCTAATTCCCTCTGTGCGAAACTTCCGCGAAGGAGCTTGGCGAACCCCAAGCGATCTTCCTGGCGAATCGTTTTTTTTTTCATGTAGCGATCCAGTGTAAAGCCGCTATGCTCCAAAGAATTGCTTAATCGCGTAATGAATTCGGTGACCTGTCCTGTCCCAGTCATTCGTCATGAATTCGTGTGAAAGTTCGGAGTTCCCCTTGTGCACAATAACACTAGCAGAAGCATGGAACTCCTACAAAATAAAGTAACGCGATTATTTCAGATTCTGGACGCATTGAAGAGGAAAACAAAAGGTTCACTCATTTTTGTCTCGAACTGCAAAACACCTTCAAAGCGAGAAGGTCTTATACAGTTAGTAAGGGACTCATAAACATTTACTAAATGCTCACTTAATAATTCAGTGATGGAGTGGAGAGCTCTGCACGTTGCCTATTCTCATTTTGTTCTAGCCCTTATTAGTCGAAGCTTTCTCAACATACATGGTTATCCTTGATAATTGAAGTCAACGAACCATTTTAAGGGAGCTTGGTCGACACACAGAAGTGACCGTTCGAGGAAAGTGCGAAGAATTGCTGAGTTTTGGCAATGCCACCCGTCGAATGTCCTGCAAGAGCGACTGCGACGATGACTCCCTCATAGGTTGATTTCGTTAACATAACCACCGTCAAAGATTCAAATTATCGTTCACTAATGGTGAAATACACTGCGTTTCATAATTATAATTCCACCTTGGAATTTCCCAAAATCTTGCAAATTTAGATGTTTCAGAAAAAGTCTCCAATGTGAAAATGTGGCAAATATAAATGCGAAATTGT